AGCCCGAACTTCTATCGCTTCTTTCTTTCTCTCTCTCGCTTGCATTAGGGCACGGGCAATTCGGTCCGCCTGCTCTTTCTCAGTCTTTAATTGATCGTCATCATTATCGCACTCACGTTCTACCGTCTTAATCTATCACTCACTTCTCTCGCATATTGAACAGACCCTGCGTCTTCAATTCATCGCTTTGATTTGATCAACCGGTACATCTCGCTTTTACTTTCGCTACACCTACACACCCCATATTTCGCCTACTTAACAAATAAACTGTACAAACATAGAATATACCGAATCTGCTCGACTTCTTATTTAATCTATATTCAACAGCTAGTGAAAACGCTCGCTAGCTCAACAAGCTCTTTAAAGCCATTGGAGAGTTATCTCTTATTATATTTGTGGCGCCACAAGATGTCATTTATACTTTTGTATATTGTTCTAAGCATTATTAGACTCAGGTGTGAATCCATTAAGTAATGTGCTCAATGGTTGTGGTGGGCTCCCAAATTAAGGCAATTTCCCTTTACCACTCGCACAGTACCATCCCATATCTTCACCTTTAAATTTATATGCCTAACAACGGCGACAACGGTCCTTCATTGGACCAAACATAATATTCCTATGAGAAGCGTAATCGGGGACACTCTTGTAAGTGAACGCAACAACTTGTAGATTTTGTATTTGACGACGTTCATTTTCAGATTTTGTTGGATCATTGTTCCGTTTATCTGAACGGGACCTTGCTGTGCGTAGACGATTATTTTCATTACTATAAGCAATGGCTACTTTCACTGCTCCTCGAAGCCACAACTTGTGACGCATTTCGCGTCACACAGATTGGCATAAAACGCACACATTTTTAAAAGCAATAAATATACTTAGACAAATTGCAATTTTTCCGAAAAAAGTATTTCACACAAAAAGGTATAAAAACAAAATCTATAATAAAACGTTCCGTTCTACAGAATGACACAAAATTAAATGAAATAGGCGTTCAAACACACATTTTTTGACCAAATTTGAGATTTGTTATACCCGTACTCAAAAAGAGTGAAGGGGTATATTAGATTTGTGGTAAAAGTGGATGTGTGTAACGCATAGAAAGAAACGTTTCCCCATAAAGTATATAAATTCTTGATCAGCATCAATAACCGAGTCGATATATCTGTCCGTCCGTCTGTCCGTCCGTCTTGTTTGTCACCTAGATCTCAGAGACTATAAGAGCTAGAGCAACCAAATCTTGTTTACAGACTCATGTGATATTCCACTGCTACAAGTGTATTTAAAAATTTCTCCCCGCCCCTTGTCAACGATGTTTTGTCTACTTTGGCTGTTTTTAAAAACTGTCTTTCATATGGTATGGTTTTATTTTTCAGTTATATTAGTCGCGGCTTTTATTTTGTATGACTTTGCGTTTTTCATTTCTACAAATTTTATATGCTCCATCTCCGCCCTCACATACCCCTTTTACCTCTACCCATCCAAAAAACTAACTTCCCTCTCTTTTAGATGCTAGATGCTAGTAAGCTCAGCACTCTTTTTCTTGAGATGCACACATTCTCGTCCCACGTTATTGTGTTTACCGAGAGCTGGTTAAGCTGGACATCCTTAGTTCCGAAGTTTTGGCAGGTCGGTACACAATTTTTGGAAATGACCGTTCGTCTTGACGTGGAGGTGGGGTTCTCATCGCAGTGGACTCAAACTTCACGTCGGAACATTTCTTGGTCCAGGTTCAACTACACCTGGAATTCCTGTGCGTAAAACTGATTCTCCCAGGCTTTTCCTTGTGCACTGACGTTATGAAAGGCACAAAAATTTTTAAAATGTACTTGACACATTTTTTGATTCTTGTGTCCCACTTTCTTGTCCGGTTAGATCTGAAAAGCCTCCTTGGTTTACCAAAGAGTTATCCAGTCTAAAAAACTTAAAATCAAGACTTTAGAAAAAATTTCGAGAAGTACGTTCTCCCTCTTCTTTTTCTCACTATGTTATAGCTCGGTCAAATTTCTCCGTTCTTAACGCTCAATGCTATAAAAACTACCTATCTCGAGGCAGGATACGATTTTCACAGGACCCTAAACACTTTTATAGCTTCGTAAATAGTAAGCGTAGAACGTCCGCACACCCAGCAATATCAGCAAACAATGACCAATTGCCGTTTTTTTTGCCAAATTTTTCCAAACAACACATTCTCATGAAAGCTACTCTGGTCAGCCGTATTCATACAGTTTACCAAGATCGAATGGCATCTTCAGCCCCTTGTTAAATGAAAGCTCACTGCTTCATGATCTTCGACTAGTTAAGCCGGTATTTTCACCAGGTCCCGACGGAGTTCCCGGCTGTGTACTTAGGTACTGTGCCGACGCTCTGTGTGGACCCTTGCTTAAACTATTCACCCTATCCATTAACTCTTCATGCTTCCCCCCCATCTGGAAGGAATCTTTTATTATTCCGCTCCATAAGAAAGGTAGCAAGTCTGATGCAAATAATTATAGAGGTATATCTAAGTTATCCGCTATTCCTAAAATGTTTGAACAAATTTTAGCTCCGCATTTGCAACATCTCTGCAAATCACTTATATCTCCGTCCCAGCACGGATTTATAAGGCGACGATCAATAACCAGAAATTTATTAAAGTTTACCTCTTTTATCATTAAAGGCTTTCAAGGTAACTTGCAGACGGATGTCATTTACACTGATTTTACTAAAGCATTCGACTCTGTAAACCATTCCCTTTTAGCACAAAAACTTGACCTTTTAGGGTTTCCGCCTAATCTTTTGAGATGGATTTCTAGCCACCTTCGTTCTAGGTCTCAAAGAGTCCTCTTCAAAAACTCCTTCTCTTCACCTGTTAAGGTTACTTCTGGAGTACCACAAGGCAGCCATCTAGGCCCCCTACTATTCACACTCTTTATTAATGATCTGCCTTCAGTATTAACAAACTCTCGAGTACTCATGTATGCGGATGATGTTAAACTTTGTGTCCAGTATAAGGACATTTCATTTCACTCTCGCTTGCAATCCGATCTCAATAACTTTCAGTCATGGTGTTGTGCAAATTTGTTACACCTAAATGCCTCGAAATGCAAAGTAATGACATTTCATCGCTCCAGCCCCCTTTTGGCTCCTTATAGCCTCTGCGGTGGTTCTCTTGAGAGAATTACCTTGGTTGATGATCTTGGTGTTAAATTTGACCCAAAGTTAAAGTTTTCTAAACACATTTCTACCATGGTAAATAAGGCCATGGGTGTTTATAAAGAGGTGATCAAAGGAATTTGACGACCCGTATATAACGAAGACTCTCAACATCTCGCTTGTTCGTCCGATTTTAGAGTACGGCTCTTGTGTATGGTGCCCCCAGTACAAAGTACACCAGGACCGTATAGAATCAGTCCAGAAAAACTTTTTACTTTTTGCTCTGCGTGGCCTTCACTGGGATGCAGGTGTGAGACTGCATTCTTACCCTCGTAGATTGGTTTTAAAAAACCTTCCAATTTTAGTTAGTCGTAGAAAATTGCTTTGTGTGATATTTATGCACAACCTGATCAAGGGTGACGTAGATAGCCCTGACATGTTGAGCCGCATAAGCTTTACGATTCCTATTAGATCTACTAGAAACTTTATTCCTTTGTTCCTTCCAGACATCAAATTATTTCTTGAGTGAACCGTCGACAAAAAATTTAACAGCAGGCGTTTCACAGACCAGTACTGAGTTCGGAAAAAGACAAGCCGATAGATAACACTAGTCAACACGATTTTTCCTCAAGGAACAAAACGAACTTTTTCTTAAAGATTTGGGGCTTAGAAATGGTTTGATAATATTTTTTTTTTTTCTATGGCAGAAATTTTTTTTGAAGAATTTTTGAAGTCTGGTATTTTTTTGTAAAGCTTTTTTCAGAGGTAGCGCTTGTTTTTTTCACATAACTCTAGTATCTTACGTCTGGTTGTAAAGAACTTTGCTATTTTGAGAAGATAATTAAAACACCTAGAAGTTAAGCCCAAACACTTTGTGATTACAGCTTACCGTCTGGGAAATATAAAGCATTGAAATGCAAAAATGATGATTTTTGTGCGGTTTTTTTTACGAAATTTTGACTTTAAAAACTCAGGAAAAGTCGAAAAAAAATTATATCCTGTGTCCTCTATTTTTTTGTGTATAGGTGCATTAATTTGGCGTCGTTCCAGGTATCGCTCATTAAAATCTATGGAGAGACTTTGGAGCTAAAATTCGTTAACCAAACCTAAAATATGGAAAAAATGAACAAAAAATACCTTTTCGATGGTTGCGGGCCCAACTGCCAATTGGGAACAAAGCAAACGAAAAAGGGTTGTACATTTGGTACCTGATCGCGATCCCAATTCCCAATGGGAATTGGGCTCGCAACCTTCGAAAAGGTATTTTTTGTTCATTTTTTCCATATTTTAGGTTTCGTTAACGAATTTTAGCTCCAAAGTCTCTCCATAGATTTTAACGGTAAGCTGTAATCACAAAGTGTTTGGGCTTAACTTCTAGCTGTTTTAATTACCTTTTCAAAATAGCAAAGTTCTTTACAACCAGACGTAAGATACTAGAGTTATGTGAAAAAAACAAGCGCTACCTCTGAAAAAAGCTTTACAAAAAAATACCAGACTTCAAAAATTCTTCAAAAAAAAGTTCTGCCATAGAAAAAAAACCATAATTCTTTAAAAAATTTTAAAGCCCCATATCTATCAGAAAAAGTCGGTTTGGATCCTTGAGGAAAAAAAAAGTTCGATTTTGTCGAGTAGTGCAATCTACATGGTATATGTAGAATATTCATAGTATTTTTAGAATACTAGATGTAGCAAAAAAATGTAAAATGTAAAATGTTTTTTTTTTAATTTAAAATTCTAAACAATTATAAGCTCAAACATGTATATACTGACTGAGTACGGGTATAAGTGGAGTCGCCTCCCCAGAAGCGACTCAAACGTTCCTTCTCGTTTTTATTATGTTATAACTAATTTTTCTTATACATTTTAAGGTCGACCTGAAAAAGTACACAATTGTACTTTAATCAATATATCTGTGTCATCATTAACGGTCTCCTGTAGTGATGGTTTCAATGGCGGCTTACCACAAAACTTTCTTATGGAGCTTACGGACAGTAATACACATGTAAGATCCAAAAGTATTCTATACTTTACTTTATACCACGCCTGTCACTGATATTTAAATATTTATATATATCTTATATCTTCTATACTATAAATTTGTAGAAAAAAATCTGTGTGTAAGCGGCTATCTCCGAAACGCGTGAATGCAATTTGGCATGCTGTTTTTTTAAATGAATCAAAAAAATTTTAAATTTGGTCCAAAAGTGTGTGTTTGAACGCCTATTTCATTTCATTTCTCCGCAACACGTGCTCCAAATTTCATGCGGTTTTCTTTACAAAAGTTTTCACTTTTCTATAAATAGGTTCCCCAAAAAATTAAAAGGTAATCAAAAAAAAATCTCAAATTTGGTCTAAAATGTGTGTTTGAACGCCTACTTCATTTCATTATTTGTCATTCTGTAGAACAAATTTGGTCTAAAAATGTTTGTTTGAACGCCTATTTCATTTCATTTTGTGTCATTCTGTAGAACAGAACATTTGATGATAGATTTTGATAGACATTACACATCGCAATGAAAATAATCGTCTACGCACAGCAAGGTCCCGTTCAAATCAACGGAACAATGATACAAACAACTGCAAATGAACGTCATGATATTCAAAATCTACAAGGTGTTGCGTTCGCGTACAATAGTGTCACCGATAACGCTTCTCATAGGCAAATTATAATTGGTCCAATGAACGACCGTTGTCGCCATTGTCAGGCATTAAAATTTAAAGGTGAAGCAGAAGGGATGTGCTGTGCGAGTGGTAAAGTGAAATTGCCTGAATTAGGCAGCCCACCACAACCATTGAGCACATTACTTAATGGATTGGCACCCGAGTCTAATCATTTTTTGAACAATATAAGAAAGTATAATTCGAGTTTTCAAATATCATCTTTTGGCGCCACAAATATTATAAGGGACAACTTCATGGCCGTTCAAGGTAATTAAATAATTTTTTTTATGCAAATTGTACATTTTTGCTCATTCTATCATATATTTTATTCAGATTCAAGGTCAAATATACCATCGATCTGGCTCTTTGTTACCTTTCGACAACGCAGACCACCAATTTTTCCAATTATATTTGATCGGGAACGCGGAAGACGAAGCTGATCGTCGGTGTGCCATTATAACCAACACGCGGAGACAAATTATTTTCGATTTGCAAAATATGTTCCATGAGCACAACGAATTGGTTCAGGTTTTCAAAACATCGCTTGATCGAATGCCATCTGACGATCATAAAATTGTTATTCGAGCTGATAACACAACGGTTGACGCACATGCAAGGCGTTTCAATGCACAAACAGTTGACGAAGTAGCAATAGTCATAGTTGGTGAGCAATTTAATAATCGTGATATTGTGCTTCATCGTAGAAATGAACAACTTGAACGTGTATCCGAGACTCATCGCTGTTATGATGCACTACAATATCCCATATTGTTTTGGAGCGGACAAGATAGCTATAATTTCAACATTAAAATGATAAATCCAGTAAACGGTCGAGAAGGAACAAAGAAAGTTAGTGCTATGAATTATTACGCATACATATTGAGGTGTAGAGCACTTTTCCACCAGTATATTGTTGACATGTATGCAAAAATTGAATCGGAACGGTTAAATTTTCTTCGATTCAACCAAGCCAAATTACGTTCCGAAGAGTATGTTCATTTGCGTGATGCCATTAACAACGATGGTAATGCACAAAACGTTGGAACTATGATAATATTACCGTCATCGTATGTTGGAAGTCCACGTCATATGTTTGAGTACGCGCAAGATGCGATGTCATACGTTCGCCATTACGGTCGACCAGACCTCTTCATCACCTTCACGTGTAATCCGCAATGGGAAGAAATCTCGGAATTATTGTTTGTTGGCCAAACATCGAAAGATCGCCATGATATTTTAGCCCGTGTTTTAAGACAAAAATTGAAATCACTCATGGATTTAATTGTCAAACACGGTGCATTTGGGTCTGTTAAATGCTGGATGTATTCAATTGAATAGCAGAAACGAGGTTTGCCTAATGCGCATATTTTTATTTGGCTGATTGAAAAAATAAGGCCGAATCAAATTGACGATGTGATTTTGGCAGAAATTCCAGATCCGACAGTGGATCCTGAATTGTTTGAAGTGGTCACCAAAAATATGATTCATGGTTCATGTGGTGCGTTGAATTTGAATTCACCTTGTATGGTTGAAGGGAAATGCTCCAAACGTTTTCCAAAAAATTTGGTCTGCGAAGAGCTGCGCAACCACCAGCAACAACTCTAACTGCATTTTTTTCGTTGTGTTAAGCAGATGATTTTGCGAAAACATTGCTATACGCCGAAGTACCCGAATATTATACGTGGAATAATTCGGCAAAAGTTTTTCAAAGGCGAAGACGCGGAAAGCCGTTCATGGTCAGCCAGTATTGTTTCACTCAGATGCGATAGGACGAATTTATACAGTTCATCCTAACAATCAAGAGTGTTATTATTTGCGATTGTTGCTAATAAATGTTCGTGGACCAACATCATTTGAATCTTTGCGAACTGTTGATCAAGAATTGTGTGGGACGTATCGCGAAGCATGCGAACGATTGAATATGCAGCATTGTCATCAAGTCCACATCAAATTCGGACACTTTTCGAAATTATTATAGCCACGTGCAGTCCAGCAAAGCCAATTGAGTTGTGGCAAAAACATCAAAATCATTTGTCAAACGGGTGATATAAACATGGACTATACCCCGGAAATTTACATCGAAGCATTGATTGCTATTGAAGACCTTTGCTTGATGATGGCAAGCAAAGTATTAGCTCGATTAGGTATGACAGCGCCTAATCGTGATATACACGACCTTTTCAACAAAGAACTGGAGAGTGAACAGCAGTATGATCGTGCCGAGCTTAGTGCGTTTGTGCAAAACAATGAGCCACGGTTAAATATCATCCAAAGAACGGTTTACGACCAAATATTGCGAGCTATCGAAGAACAACATGGTGGACTGTTCTTTTTGGATGCAGCTGGAGGTACCGGAAATACGTTTGTCATTTCAATTATTTTGGCTACCATTCGAGCACAAGGTAGAATCGAATTGGCTTTGGCTTCGTCTGGCATAGCTGCCAGACTCATGTGATATCACACTGCTACAAGTGTATTTCAAAATTTAGCCCCGCCCCCTACCACCATCACAAAGGATGAAAATCTGTGGCAGGCACAATTTTAAAGATATGATAAAACTGAAAACGCAGTATCGTAGAGAATGTCCTGCCCATATCTACCAGATTGCCGAATCTGAATCAGATCGGATCTTAAATTTAGCCAGAATGAAGAAATTAATTTTCTGTTGGTTCCCCCTCCTTCTCCAGCGCTGCTGACGATACTGATTCTCTTTCTTGCTCGCACAATCTTTTTGGGGTCGGAAACGTTTCCGACCATGCGTTGCGTTGCACACATCCACTTTTACCACAAATACAAGGGGTATAGGTATTAGGGGGTATATTTAACTCTTCGAGTAGGTATAAAAAGAAGAGAATAGCGCCGCGTTGGTGTGGCACGAAAGTTTGAGAGTATTGTAGGGCATTGAAGTTTGCTGAAGAAACGCTAGTGTGTAACATCCACTTTGACCTTAACTCTTAACTCTTCAATTACGGGTATAATTATAAAAAACCTTAATCATTACATAGCTATGTTTTTATTCGAAGTGAAAGATGCAGTTTGTGCGTAAAAATTGAGGTTTTCGATACATGGGAGTAATATCTCTGTTACAAATAACATTGGATTTTGTGCGCGTAACACACCAATAACAAAATAAATTCTGCGCTTAACAGAATATGAGAAAATTAACCCAATTCATGAAAATTATTTGCGAAAACGGGAGCACCTATCAACGAAAACGGTTTTAAACGCAAAACCAAAGAGGAGGAAACATTAAAAAAACAATAAAAACAAGTCTTAGCCCGATTCGAAAACGTTCAAGAGGAACAGACTTAAGTTCAAAGTTAAACGATATATAAATATATATAGAAATATTGTGCTCGTTTCTCCTACATCTATGCATTCGAAAAGTACTTAATCGTTTGATTCCAATTAGGGTTGGCTATCGTCAAGCAAATATCGATAATGATATAAAACAAGATATCACATAGAAAATCATATCGAAGATATCATATCGTAATTAATATCGGCATATCACCTTGAATATCGATAAAATCGGTATTAATTTTTTTTTTTTGTGATTTCAACGCCTGCACAGTGGGCGCAAATGCCGTTTTTTTGGCATTAACCTCCACGGTAAAGCTAGAATGTTGAAACTTGGCATATTGGCTGTTCATATTATTGGTCAATTTCGAATTAATTTTCTGACCGATGCGACCACGCCTTCTCCTCCTTCAACATTTAAAAAATGCATTAAAATTAAGTTTTTTAAATTTTTTATGTAAAAATAGTTATAATTACTTAGGGTAAAAAAGATCGTCAATAAATTAACATTTATTTTAAGCATCTTTCAACTCTAGTTCAAAATCAAAATGTTCTTTTACTTTATGATCGGTGTAGTCATCTTCTGATCTCTCTGCTACGTCGATTGCTGGTAACTCTAAAAGAGCAATGGCTTCTGATGGAAGTTTTCCTGAATTGTAATATATTGCTGAGGAGATGCCAGAGAGATAGGGGTCAGAAGAATCCAAGGCTCGGTGAAATACGTCAGTCAAATTATTCACTCGGCTTTTTTTCCTGGCATGAAATATTCGATCACGCTTATAATATTTATTTCGAGCCTCAGATGCGTTTTCTCCTAAGCAACCAACAGGAAGTACAGATGATTCAATAATCTGTGAACCATGCACTAAAATCTTGTGTACCGTGGCGGTCGTTGGATACCAAGGATATTTTTTCATGTGTAAAAGGAGAGTCTCTTCACAAAATTGTTTAAACTTTACTGAACTTATTTGGTATTCGCATGAAATAACTATTAATATTAAGTGAAGTTTGTTCAGTAACTCTTCATCGATTTCCAATATT